TGCAGAATCAGAATATCGAGCAATGGCGACAGCAACTTGTGAGCTAGTTTGGATCAAACAGTTGCTGGGAGAACTAAAATTTGGCAAAATTGATCAGATGGAACTTGTGTGTGATAATCAAGCGGCTCTTCATATCGCATCAAATCCAGTGTTTCATGAAAGGACTAAGCACATTGAGATTGACTGTCACTTTGTCAGAGAAAAGATACTCTCGGGAGATATTGTTACGAAATTTGTGAAGTCAAATGATCAGCTTGCAGATATCTTCACCAAGTCCCTCACATGTCCTCGTATTAATTACATCTGTAACAAGCTAGGTACATATGATTTGTATGCACCAGCTTGAGGGGGAGTGTTAGAATAGAAATAAGTATTTCCTACTTAGAATAGGAATAGGAATAGGAATAAGAATAAGAATCGTAGTTGGAAAAGGATTCCAATGTAGTGTCTATAAATAGGGTCTCAATGTAACTATTTAGATACACAATTCAATAATATTTTTCCCATATATTTCTCACAGTAACAATGCGGAAGCTAAGGCACACTTCATCCTCAAAAAAAGGCGTGGAACCAAAATTCTGGAAAAATCAGAAGTTTGCAATGAAACTGAAAAGGAAAGGAAAAATTATGCCTAAACTTCCTAGGTAAGCATAATTGGACCATATAATTCAGTTTCTCTCAATTCAGTCTTTCTTTTAGTGTTAGTATTTCCAATTTTCATTCTAATCTCTCTACTTTAATTGTGTTCCAGTTTGATCTTGCGAATCAGAAGGGCTAATGCTGGCGATTTACATTCTGCTGATCCACTAAGCCTTGTCATGTACTGTTATATGAAATTTTATGGGATACCATTCCACACTGAATACACTTCGGCAGGTAGTCACTTCACTTGTATCCTATGTAACTCAGACTCTCCAAAATATTGTCTCACCCATGCCGGGTCCTCCAAAAATGCACTACTTTAGAGGATCCAACATGCACCCGTGACGTGACAACATAGCTTCTTATTTTGGGGTTCTTTTCTTAGCATTACAAGAGTAAATTTTTTGGAGAGAAGTGACATATTTCACGCGTTATATAGTTGTTGAAGTATACTCGAGCTACCATTTGGAACTTGATGTTTTACTTAAAAGTTATGTAAGAGTACCTTATTAACAATAAATTTTCTCATCAATGCATCAATGAGTTTGATTTCTTCTTAAACAAAAGTTCTCTGTATGTCGCAACTTCTACAATTTAGCTATTTGCAGATTCAACATAGGTTGTTTCTTGAAAATAAATGACTCTGGAGAAGCTGTAATAGTGACATACACTTTTGACTTATAATTTTTTCATTTTTAACTGAGTAGTTGATCTGGCATGTTTATTTTATGTAATGTTAGAATAATATTTTTCTTTCTCTTCTTTTTATTGTTTTGATGTTGGGGCTAGCAGAGATTGTAGCTTGTTAAGTTCTGATTCTCCATCATATTTGCTCATTTTGGCACTCCAAATATCTGAAGCCAACATTCTTTGATTTGTTTTTCGAAATGGATTTTTCTTTGCCTTACAAGCCTTGCTTCACTTTAAAGTTAGTAATTCTTTGTTGTGTATATTTGCTAGTTCCATACTTGGAAATTTTGGGAAAGTACTATCCAATGGATCAACATTGTCCAATTGATCAACTGAAAGCTTTGACATCCCACGATATTGACCACTTACCTCGCCAACACAAAAAGTTTGAATCATTTAAAAAAGAAATGATGCACCTCTTGGAGAAACTAGAACTCACAACGTTATATTATCTGTATAACAGTTGTCCATCATTTGATTGGGCGAGTGTAAGATTTGAAAATCTAAAGGAGGGCCTTAGTTTAACTGAAATTACAGTGGAAAAGGTATGGAAAAGTTTTATTTCTTTCTAGTTTCAGAAATTGCTATACTCTTCTTTTCGTGTTTGTCACTTACTTCCTTACCATGTCTTCTTTTGACCCCAAAGAAAATAAATAAGCAGATTGAAGAAATGATGAGAGAAGCATGTAAAACTCTATCAGAAAAGCTTAATGATGGTGTTTATTTGTTTCGGGACATGGTTACAAAGGGGTAATCTCTTGCGTACAACTTTTATCATCTATTAACATGAGTTGTCAAACCTTTTAACAATATGTTTTATATGTGCAGGGAATTAGATGTCAATGAATCAATCACCCTTCTGATAGAAAAGAAAAATGAATATGAGTGGTATTTCAATCTAGTGACAAGTGTAGATGTCATATTTGCCAGCATTTCATTGGTAATTGTGAAAGGACTTGTGAGTCTTTTAAAGTTTATGTGATATAACTATATGTGCTATATTCCTAGCCATGCATTATTGTCATGCCCGAAACCCCACCCTACACGTGACATTGCACTCGGAACCCCATTAGGCCCGAGAGCACCAACCAATCTGTTTAACCCAGATAATCCAATACAAATACCAATTTAAATATCAATGCAAAAAGTAAGGCCCATTTCAATTAACCTTCAAGAGAATTCAAAAGAGGAAAACCAATTTGACTCTTAATTAGAAAACCAAAGCATACTAACCATAGGTCTACGAAACCTCTACTAATAGAATAACAATGTCTACATCGAGACATGACCCCCGACATACCATGAAAATCAAAGGAGAGACAAAGAAAAGCCCACTTTCCGGAGGATGGAAAGCTCACCACAATGTTGATTGTTATCCCTCATGATCTACTGTTGACCAGAATCATGACCTTATCTCTCCAATCCTACATCATGAAACTATGTAGAGTCCGAGGACGGTCAGTACGACGAGAGCTGGCTTGCAACCTGGGGGAAAGGATAAACAGTATACATATATAAAAGATAATCATAAAGGCAAAATCATAAGTGCAGTCTCAAAGCATTTGGACATAGACCTTTCAAAAATCATTAGTCCTGAGTAAGGTAGTATTCACCGACATAATGTGACCCATGGGCTATTATAGGTCTGGCCTCCGCCTGACCGAGGGCCCCAATCCATGTATGCCGCATGGATTTGAGAAATATAAGAATCTGGTGAACCAAACTCTCCCAATTAAAAGACTGTAGAGGTTGCTCCGGTTTAACAACCTACATTGGTCATCCATATTTCAAGACAGGGACCTCCCACGTCGGCAAATGAGGTTTCGGATGATGAGTCACAAGGACTTTGCACCTTCTCGGTGATACTATCTAACTCTCTTCAAGCCCCTAATTAAAACATTTACAAGTTTCCATTTATTAAGAGTTATCTGAATAAGGCATATTCCCATTTAAAACTCTTAATCCGTTCTTTGAAAATCAAAGACTCATTTATGTTAAAACATTCCTTTCAATGCCAACATCCAAGTCTTTCCAACACATAAAACAACATATAAAATGCAAAATCATTAGTATTTAACCGGGATGGAGAATTACCCTGCGTTCATCATTTCAAACCAAAGCTTTTGAAAGATTCATAGATTCCCAAGTGCATTATTCATAGGAAAAACCCTTTTCAAAATCATACGAGGCAATTCAACCATTCAAAACCAATAAGTCAAATTCCAGAATCATAATAAAGTATTTGAGCACAATTAACAAGAGAGGAACATTTGTAATCAATTTTCATGAAATCATCTCTCAACCCTTACCTCAATTTGTAATTTAGAAAATATGAATAATAAAATAAAGTATGAATCTTCTATGAGTAGTTTGAAGTAGGGGGTGTTCAAACATACCTTTTGACGAAGATCTTAGGAAAGAGACTTTGAGAATTAACCTTAGATCTTGTTTCTTGAAGTGTTGGGGAAGAAGAGGAGAAACGTTTATCGTAACTTATCGAATTTCCTAGACTATGACTTTTGGGGGAAGTTAATAGTCATGGGTTAGGGTTATGGGGTGAGGAAAATACTAAAACACCTCTCCTAAAATGTGAAGAGAAGAGAAGAGAAGAGAAGACTTAAATAATTTCAGAGACAGTGCGCGATCGCACATCTGGAACCTACTCCGCGTGACCTTAACAGTGCTACTGACTATGCTACGCGGTCGCGCGGCTGATGTGCACTTCGCGTGGTGGATTGCATAGAACCCGTAGTACCCAGTAAAATGGGGCAAAACTTTTAGCACATAACTTGGATTGACAAATGGTCAAAGGCATTGGAACAAAGGGTTCACAGCCTTTCATTTTCTTGGTATTAGGTATCTTAGTACTCAATGAGTCTCTTATGACCTTAATTCACATCCAAAGATCTTTCTCATAGTAAGAGATTGTTTTCAATACCTATTTAACATTAGAAATCATCAGGTTTGGAGCCTACACCCATTTAAAGAACGACTGGGGTCATAGTTTAAAATTTTGGTGCGTTACAATGATTTGATTGTCATATCTTGTTGACGCGACGAACTATAGAATGATTAAGTTTATATACTAAGTAATTATTATCATAGTGATAATTGTTAGATATTGAGTTGTTTATTTCATCTTCTGCATCCAGGTTGACGAGCCCATTTACAAAGAATTCGTGAAATACACAAACCTTTTTGCATATGTGGAGCGCTTCAATGTTAAGTATGAGAAAACCATTGGTTAGTTTCAGCTTGACATACTCTATTATAAATATATGTTATAAGAGGCAATGTCAATGTCTTACTGATTTTATTTTCTTTATTGAGAAGATTCTAGAAATTGCATCCATCAAATGAACTAGAAAATGCTTTCTTGTGAAACAAGTTTTTGCTCTTCTTTTCGTTCCAATTGTAGATGTCTTTACAGTATATATATATATATATAATTCACTTGAACAACTGAAGTATATTCTTTTTGTCGGTTCTACTACACAAATTATTGACATGCGATGCAAGAAAGGTGTGATTATTGCTATCTCATGAACTGAAATGACCATCATGTATGGTATTAAGACAAATACAGTTATGGATCCTAGATTCACAGTTTTTGTGTTCATGATGTAGTTTAAGAAACTGTTATATTTGTACACTATAACTTGTATTGATCATATTTTATTGTTTCCTAAGATATTGTGAAGATATAGTCTCACTCCTATATGTTTTTAAATGCTTCTAGATGTTGTGGATTTCACACTGCAGGGAGGTGGTTCAGTAAAACCCTTTGATTACCTGGATAAGCTAATAAACAAGTCTATTTGTATCAGACCTGGTAACTTTGGTGATGTTCACTGTTGTAAGTTCCTACGGAAGAATCCACTAGGTTTGCTTGTTGGAACTTACGTGGTTAAATCATTCAAGCAGGGGTACCAAGAATCATACAAGGTAGAATCTCAATGCATTGTCTCTTCTTTTTGTTTTTGTTAGATAACTAGTGTCTCAGCGTCTTTGATCCTTTCAGCGTCTTTGATCCTTTCAGTGTGCTTATAATGTAGTGAGTCCAACATATTCTTCATTCGTTTTCTAGGGAGAGGCACATTATCTGAAACAATTAAGGTACAAGTTTATCCCAAAATTGATTGGTGTTGGCTGATGGAGGATTTCCAAGAAGATATTCTTGTCATCAAAGATGTGATCCTCTAAGATGAGAAGATATTCTTCATATCAAGATATGATCCTCTAAGATCTTAGTATAATTGTGGTAATCTAGAATATCATATCTCTGATTCTTTCTCTTAATGTAAAGATTTAGGTGATTCTATTCCACAATCTTTTATGTATATATAAAGCCATGTACATGACATAGAAAAATATGAATGAAATTATTCAATAATCTTATTCCACACTTTTTCAGATTTGTTCCACTTGTTCTTGGTCTACAAACAATCATAATAACACGAAAGCCAATAAATAATTACTAACTATCCGAATTACTAATAATTCTATCAACCCTAGATCATACCCATGATCCCAATATCCAAATTACTGTTTTTCCCACCATAATTCTCAGATCAAGCTCTTCCCATCGATAATTTTCCATTAGATTACGTTCTACGAATCGAAAAATGGATTAGGTGAGTGAAAATATTACCTGTAGCCTCAAGATTGGTGGAAAACTGTCAAGAAAAGCCCTTCGTTCATTCCTTAGCTCTCAAGTTTGAAAATTACAGAATAAAATGTTTTTGGGGTTTATTTCTGAGTTTAAGTCGCGTCTGCCCCGCCTCGGCGGCACCTACCCCACTACAGTGGCCCCGCCCTGGAGGTAGAATCCCTCCTCTGCGGCTTTCACGGAACCAGTGAGCAAAATTAAGAATTTCAAACCCCCATTTCACAACACACTTTCCACCAACGACACTCAAAAACTACCCGTTCATTCTAAGATCGATTTCGGGAGTTTTACTCGCCCAAATTCAATTTTGTAAAGTCGTACGGGTTCCTTAACAAATTATCTATCTATTGATGTGATCAAATTCATAATTAGATAACCCAATTGTTACCACATTTCCCTAGACCTTAATGACTCTGATTTCATCCAAATCTAGACTGGGTTGGGAAATCCCTAGTTACTACGAAAAAGTTTTTCGACCCAAAATTTTTCCCCGCTGGCTTTTCTATAACGACGGAACCCGATCGTTACAATACATACCAATTTGCCTATCCCTGAGTGACAAACTTAGGAAAAATAGGCTAAGAAAGGAATGGAGTAGTACTTGAATCTACGAACAATTAGAGATACTTGTCTCACATGTCATTCTCAGTTTCCCAAGTAGCTTCCTCAACGAGACGATGCTTCCATTGAACTTTCGCGGACTTAATCTCCTTGGTCCTCAACTTTTGGACATCACAATCAGGAATTGCAATCGTTTCCTCCTCATATTGGAGGTCTTTGTCTAACACAATTGAGTCTTCTTTAATGATATAATACCCGTCACCATGGTATCTTTTCAACATGGATACATGAAATACCGGATAAACTCCCGATAGGTTAGGAGGCAAAGCCAATCTATACGCTACCGGTCCTACACATTCAAGAACCTCAAAGGGACAAATGTATCGCGGACTTAGTTTTCCCTTCTTGCCAAATCCCATCACCCCTTTCATGGGTGATACCTTAAGAAGAAAATTCTCACCAGTTTGAAATGCCATGTCTCTTACCTTATGATCTGCATACTTCTTCTGTCTACTCTGGGTTGTGAAGAGCTTAGCTTGAATACGCCTAACTTTATCTTGATCATCTTTCACTAAATCAACCACCAAAGGTTTCACATCTCCAGCCTCAAACCATCCGATGGGTGATCTATATCCCCTACCATATAATGCCTCAAATGATGCCCTATCAATGCTGGAGTGATAACTATTATTATAAGAGAACTCACACAAAGTTAAGAACTTATACCAATGTCCTCCAAAATCAATCATACATTCCCTCAACATGTCCTCTAACACTTGAATATTCCTCTCCGAATGCCCATCCGTCTGCGGATGAAAAGCGGTGCTGAAAGTGAGTTATGTGCCCAATTCATCATGTAATTTCCTCCAAAACATAGAATTAAATTGCGTACCATGATCTGAGATGATAGAAAGGGGCACCCCATGCAATCTCACTATCTCTTGCATATACACCTTGGCCAATTGTTCAACATTATAATCTATCCTTACCGGAATAAAATGGTCTAACTTAGTCAATCTATCAACCACTACCTAAATAAAATAAAACTTCCCCAAGGTCTTGGGAAGACCAACTAAAAAATCCATGGCTACTCTTTCCCACTTCCATTCCAGAATTGGCATTCTTTGAAGCAAACCTACAGGCCTTTGATGTTTATACTTCACTTGTTGACAATTTTGACACTTGCCCACAAACTCCGATATATCCTTCTTCATGCCCGACCACCAATAAATTCTCTTCAAGTTTCAGTACATCTTGGTCACATCCTGATGAATGGAATATCGCGAACCATGGGACTCTATCAACAACTTTTGAATCAAGTCACCAACTCGAGGAACACAAAGTCTTCCTTTAAAACTAAGTACATCTTCCTCATGAAGACTGGTCTCTTGTGCCTTACCAATTGCAGTCTTTTTCTTAAGTTCATCTAAACTTTCATCCTCAAATTGCCTGGCCTTGATCTCTTCCATAAACGTGGCCCTTACTTCAATGCTAGTTAACACCCCACCTATTTCTGAGATGCCCAATTGCATGAATTTAGACTCCAAGGTCTGAATTTCCTTGGCCAAATGTTGTCTAGTTACACTCAAGCAAGCTAAACTACCCATATTTACCGCCTTTCGACTCAAAGCGTATGCCACTACATTAGCCTTAATCAAAACTGAAGATCTGCATTCCATATAAGCTCTCCACCACTGTTTGGCCTCACCTTGAAGTTGAACCCCATGCTGATGGACAATTCCCAACTTATGCAGCCTCTCGTAACAATATACGATGAACTCATACACATCCTCACTCTCGTAACCATGGAACACAGGCGGCTTCAACTTCAAAAACTTGGTCAACATCTCATGTTCTTTACCAGTCATAACAGGACCCAATAAAGGACGAAAGAAAGTATCATTACCTACATTCCCTCCCACCTTGGGGATAGTGATAGCAATAGGAGGATTGGCGGGAGCTTGAGTTGCTTGAACAGAAGGAAGCACTCCAGGACCAACCAACCCTTTCAAGAATGATATGATTTGTTGAGGTAACACTGGGTCTATGGGAGGAACATCGGTAGTCTCAGCCTGTACCTCTTCCTCTTGTCCAACCTCCTCAACATTTTCAACCTGAATATTCTCCTCTATATCTTCATGATGTACGAGAGGGGCGTCATTTTCGGGGGCATTTTAGACCGGTACCCCATCTCTAGAAGACTCCACTCTTACTCGGACTCTACCCCTAGCTCTTCCTATACCCATGCCTCGACCGCGACCTCTCGCTGCAGATTCCTCAGTTGGAGCATTGACGGGAGCTACAGGCCTGACACCGTTGAATCTAGTGTTAACCATCTGCGAACACAAGAGTGAATGAGGTTAGATACCAATTCGAATAGACATATACCAATTAGAATCAAGTTATAGCACAAATATAGACAAGAGAAAATAGAGTGATTTCCTAAAGTCCTATAGCCTCTAATTAAAAAGTACAGACATCTCTGTACCATTCCGCAAGATACCGTCGTGATACAAACTTTGTCGCGACCCCGATCGTCGTAATTGGCACCCACAGTAATCTTCCGGTGGGAGAACCATTTATACTAAATACCCAATCCACATAATCAAAATAATAAGGCATTTAAGTTACAGAAGCAAGTTAAATGCTAAAGAAATAATAGAGTGGTATGTTGTCTATTCTTATTTTCTTTTTTTTCTTCTAAAAACACATAAGGTTCCACATGCTTAATGTAGTTTTATCTCTCTTTCTATAAATGTGTGGATATGTTATAATTTTCTTGAAGCAGACCTGACATATGATTGTGCATTAAACACTCTAATTGATGTGTTTGACGGGCTGCATCTAATACATACCCATTTTGAACACGGTCGGATAGTTCATGCTAATTTGAACCCGAAAAATATAGTGCTTGATGAGGTAAGCACCATTCTCAATGATCTAGATCAAAAAAATCATCCCCGTATACCAAAAAACTAAACTTGTATATTAAACATACACCTTCAGGAGTGGAGAGCAGCACTTTGTGATTTCAGCCTCACTCATGAGGTTTCTAAAGACGAGGCAATTTGCCATAGCAACTACGTTGAAAGAGAAGCAAAAGGTAAGAATTTTATGTTTTAATGAAAAACGACCTGTTCAAATTTAGCATGTTAAAAAGTGATTTTCACTTTAATCAATTTAAGATTCTACTAAGATATGAGATATGGCTGTCAGTGAACATGACCATATGGTTAGGGAGAGAAAGAGGTTATGGGTTTGATTCTTGGAAAAAGGATTTATTTCAAAACAAATATTAGTCAACAGTTCTTACTGTGAGCATTGAATTAGTTGCCTTGCCTTGATCTTCATGCATCTTGGAGTAACCAAAATCTTTTTCGTTTTTTGTTTTCTTGGCAGGTAGGACAGAGGCAATCCATGACAAACAAGCAGCAGAGATATATGCATTGGGAATAATCATGATTGAAGTTTTAACCAAGGAACCAATTGGTGCACGGGAAATTGAAAAAATAGTTAGAAGGAAAATTTAACACAAGGAGTCCATCCGAGCGATGATGGTAGAGCCAATGAATTGCTTGACTTGGCTCTCTGTTGCATTAGCAGTGAAAGGATAGATCGGCCTCGAGCTTATGAAGTCTCACACAACCTAAGACGAATCCGAGACTCAAGTGTGTTCATGAGAATGGCTAAAGCTGGCGATTTACAATATGCTGATCCACTAAGCCTTTTCATGTACTGTTATTTGAAATATTCTGGGACATCTTTCCACACCAAATACACTTCGGGAGGTAATCACTTCACTTGTATCCTATTTTGCTTAGACTCTTCAAAATGTTGTTGCACCCGTTTGGGTCCTCCAAAAGTGCACTATTTTAAAGGATCCAACATGCATCCCACAATATTGTAAAAGAGTCTCAACAACATAGCTTCTTATATATTTGGGTTTTTCTTGTCTTAGCATTATAAGAGTAACATTTTCTGAGATGTGGTATATATCACACACTATATAGTTGTTGATATGTATACTCGAGCTACGTTTTGGAACTTGATGATTTACTTTATTTACTTAAAAGGTTTTTAAGAGTACTGTACTAACAAGAAATTTCTCATTAGTGTATCAATGAGTTTGAGTTCTCCTTAAATGAAAAGTTCTTCATATGTCGGAACTTCTACAGTTTAGCGATTTTCGAATTCAACATATATGGTTTCTCGTAACTAATGATTCAGAAGAAGCCTTACAATAGTGCCAGATTCTTTTGACTTTTGACTTTTAATTTTTTGTTTTAAAATGAGTGTTGACATGGCTTGTTGAATTTTTGTAATGTTAGAATAATACTTTTTCTTGTTTTGAGGCGGAGATTGTAGCTTGTTAAGTTCTCATTCTCCATGACATTTGCCCATTTTAGCACACCAAATATCGGAAGTTGATATATTCTTTGACTTTTTTTTTCCGAAGTGATTCTCTCTTCGCCATACAAACCCTGTGTCACTTTCAAGTAAATAATTCTTTGTTGTCAAAATTGTCTAGTTCCATGCTTGGAAATTCTGCGAAAGTTTCGCCTAATGGATCAACATCGTTCAGTTGAACAACTGAAGGATTTGGGGCCCGTGATATTGACCAAACAGCTCGCCAACACAGCAAATTTGAATCATTTAAAAAAGATGTGATGCATCTCTTGGAGGAACTTGAACTCAGTATGTTATATTATCTGTATAAGAGATGTCCATCATTTGATTGGGCAAGTGAAAGATTTGAAAATCTGAAGGAGGGTCTTAATCTAATTGATATAACAGAGGAAAAGGTATGGAAAAGTTTTATTTCTTTATGGTTTCAGAAATTGCTATACTCTTCTTGTCATGTTTGTCACTTACTTCCGTACTTGTCTTCTTGTGACCCCAAAAAAAATCAGATTGAAGAAATGATGAGAGGAGCATGCAAAAATCTATCAGAAGAGCTTTGTGATAGTGTTAATTTGTTCAGGGTTACAGTTAAAAAGGGGTAATCTCTCGCGTACAACTTTTATCATCTAATAACATGAGCAGTCAAATCTTTCTATTTCTGAATTAGAGTCTATTCTTCAAAAAGGAACAATAATAGCAATTTATTTTGTATGTTTAGGGAATTAGATGTCAAAGACTCCTTCTCCGTTGTGATGAATAAGAAAAAGGAAAAAAGATGGGATTTCAATCCAGTGACAAGTCTAGATGCAATTTTTACAAGCATTTCATTGATAATTGTGAAAGGACTGGTGAGTCTTTTAAAGTTCATATATGATAAAACTATCTTTGTTATATTCAAAGCCATGCATTGTTTGATTGCCATATCTTGTTGACGCGACAAACAATAGAATGATTAATTTTTTATACTAAGTAATTAACATAGTGATAGTTGTTAGATATTGAGTTGTTTATTTCATCTTTACGTACCAGGTTGACGCGCCCACTTACCAAGAATTCCTGAATACACAAACCTAGTTGCATATGTGGAGCGCTTCAATGTTAAGTATGAGAAAACCATGGGTTAGTTTCTGCTTGAAAGGCTCGACTATTGAATTTGATATATCACGAATTGAAATGACCATGACCTATGGTATTGAGACTAGTTCTGTAATGTATCTTAGATTCACAGTTTCTGTGTTTGTGATGTAGCTTAAATTGTTATATCTGTACATTATTACTTGTACTGATCAAGTTATATTTGTCAATTTTTCGCTGAATGCCTCTCAAAGTGAGAGAGTCTTTCCATTACATAGAGAGAATAAAGATTACACATCCCTAAAGATCCGTCATTCCTATCCCCAAAGATCAGCTATTCTATCTCTACAAATCTGCTATTCAATCTCTCTAAATTTGCCTTGCTATCCCTCTAAATCAGCTATTCTATCATAATATTTATTCCTTTGATTCTACAACAAATGTATATGATCATGCTAATTTATATCACTATATAATTACATTAATATAAACAATCATTTAGTTGTCCATCATGATAACATCCCCCCTCAAATTGATGTTGGTGGATCAAGAAGCATCAATTTGCCTACTAGAAGCTGATGACGTTGTCGTGCCATGGATTTTGTAAACGCATCAGCTATTTGAAGATCACTCGACACATGTGGAAGAGTAGTGACTCCTTTATCTACTGCTTCTCGTATATAATGACAATCCACTTTGATGTGTTTGGTCCTCTCATGAAAAACTGGATTAGTAGCAATCTGAATAGCACTTGTATTGTCAGCGTGGAGAGGAGTAGGATGAGATTGAGGAAGTCCAATCTCAGCAACTAATCCACGAAGCCATACAACCTTGGAGCAAGCAGTAGACATGGATCGATATTCTGCCTCTGTTGAAGATTTTGACACACGATCTTGCTTTTTACTCTTCCAAGATATCAATGACTCTCCAAGAAACATGCACCAACCATAGACTGAACGATGAGTATCAGGACATCCTGCCCAATCAGAATCACTAAAAGCATTAAGACGAATAGGAGAACCACTTGGAAAGAACAGTCCACGAGCAGATGTTCCTAGAAGATACCGAATGATGCGACAAACAACCACCAAGTGGAGATGACGGGGAGCTTGCATAAATTGACTAACTTGTTGAACTGCAAAAGAGATATCAGGCCGAGCAATAGTAAGGTAATTTAGACTCCCAACTAATTGTCGAAATATAGCTGGATCAGGAAGAAGATCGCCTTCCTCACGACGATACTTCACATTCAATTCCAATGGAGTATCCACGAAGGAGGAATCTTGAAGCCCAGCCAAAGAAATCAGATCCTGAGTGTATTTGTGTTGGTTTAGAAACACACCTAAAGCAACATTATGAACTTCCAAACCCAAAAAATAAGTAAGAGACTAAGATCTTTCATATGAAATGAATCTTTAAGCTGCTATTGGAGGCTAGTGGTTAGTGAAGAATCAGTTCCTGTGATCATAATGTCATCTACATACACCAAAAGAAGAACACAACCTGTTGATGTTTTCCGAAGAAACAAAGATGAGTCATATTTGCTCTGCTCAAAAGAAAATTGCAGCAAAGTAGACCGGAACTTATCAAACCAAGCTCTTGGAGCTTGTTTTAGTCCATACAAGGACCACTTCAACTTGCATACATATGATGTAGGCGATGAGAACAAACCAGGCGGAGGTTTCATATAAATATCTTCATTAAGATCACCATGGAGAAAAACATTTTTGACATCCATTTGATAAAGAGACTAGTTTTGTGAAGCAGCAATGTCAATAATAGTTCGCACCGTAGTCATTTTGGCTACGGGCGCAAAAGTCTCCTCATAGTCCACCCCATACTCTTGTTTGTTACCAAGAACAACCAATAGAGCTTTGTACTGATCAAGAGTTCCATCAGAATGAAGTTTGATTGAATAAACCCATTTACATCCAATAGGGCGGACATTTGAAAGGTATGAAACAATGTCCCATGTGTCATTTTCTTTAAGAGCCAAAAGTTCTTCCTCCATTGCTTTCTGCCAACATTCATGCTTGGAAGCTTGTGAGTAAAAAGATGGAACAGATATGTTGGATAAAGTAGAGGGAAAGCCATACTAATTCAGAGTACGAGATACTCTGGTAGACCGTCGAGTAGGCTCAAGAGGACCAGATCTGTCACGCCCCGACCCTACACGCTGGACGTGGCCGGCACTCGAAGACCATTGCTGGCTCCAAGCGAACCATTGGCCTGACTTACTTACTCAGCGGAAGACTATATGCATATTTATAATGATCAAACACTATAAATGTTCTTTAAAAGAATAAATTGAACTGCTCAAACTGAACTCATCATGTTTTAAAAAAATAAACATTTAACTTAGCCAAAATGGCAACTCAACTCTGAACATAAGTCAATAACAAAGTAAAGACAAATGACTAACTGACTGTCTATCTATGAAGCCTCTAATAACTGAGATGGATGTCGGGATAGGCCCACGACATCCTAATGAACTATCTAATACTGAAAGTAAACAAAAGGGATCCTCCGAAATGCAAAAAGGCGCACCAACAGACTCTGGATTGCTCACTAGATCAACGATGCGCTAGATGCCGATCCTAGTTACCTGCGTCTGCATCATAATATGATGCAGGCCAATTGGCATCAGTACATTGAATGTACGAGTATGCGAGTTGGAATGCTAAAACAGATATAGGCTTGAAAGGATTCTGAAAGAAACACTTACCTTGACTTTTCTCAACTCATGAATACTTAACTGAACTTATTTTATTATAAAGCAGTTTAAAACAAGTGCAATATAAAGAAAAAGGAAAACTGTTTAAAACATGATGTCAACTCAACCATAATATCATGAAAGACATACCATTCTTCCTCTCAAAGTCTACTTGTGCAATGCATGAATGAAGTCTCATACCCCCATTCATACTAAGCAGAACCCCTTGAGGAACCATGCAATTACTGTTGTGGGAGTTTCTCTAACCGACAACCACCACTATAAGTTTAAGTGGTGATACAACACTTTACCTCACGCTGCCAAGGCCATCCTATACCCTGCCAAAGATGTAGGACCTAACTGACTTAGTGGATCCACTAATCTATGCGAAAAGGCTTCATCTAAAAAGTATGACCCCTTTCGATCCATGATGGCTACATGGTTTTCATGGAGACTTGAGTTAATATGAACTCGCATCCCCACATCGGTGCTCAATAATAATCCCAAAATATACTTAGCTCATGTGTTTGTAAAAGACAAAACTCTTTCTCTGGTTTGAGATAATTACTCAAAACTTAGCTTAAAAGTTCTCTTGGAATCAATATTCCCTTTTGTTGTTCAAAACTCTTTTGGAAATCTGAGTTTCCTCTCATCTTAAATGTGAAAACATTTACTCTTG